GCGACGGCTCGCGCACCCAGGGCACGCGCACCCAGGGCACGCGCAGCGACGGCCCGCGCACCCAGGACACGCGTAGCGACGGCCCGCGCACCCAGGACACGCGTAGCGACGGCCCGCGCACCCAGGACATGTATGCATACTACTGGTAGAAGCAGCAAGCTCAAGAACTAAGCATTGCTTTGCAGCCCTCACAAGCCTAGAGCCCTGTATTATTATAAGAGGAGAATTGCACCCAACAATATACTATTGTACAATACACAGAGGTGCAGCTCCTGACTACCGATCTGCAGGAAAAACGGGACAGCAATGCTACCAGACACACACTGCTTCTGGTACATGGGGGTCTCCAGACACAATACTGAACACAAGCAGCACAAGCCAGACTCTCACCATCCAGAAAGCGGCTCTGCCCGCCGCCCGCCATCTTCCAGCTTACTCCATGGCCGTCAAGAAGAAGAGCTTCAGCGGAGAATCCCGAACACGGCGGCTCTGGAGACAGAGTGAGAGCAGTCAGTCAGGGAGATACCTGTCACATAGGCCTCAACCGGGAGAAAATCCAGGAGGCCGCAGCTAGAGTGATAGGAGGAGCCTGACACACATACACAAGCCGAGAGGAGGGGGATGAGGGCAGCCTCGGGGGGATCGCTTAGTCTACAGCGCGGGCTATACACAGCACAGCGTTCTGGTGTACTGAATGGGGAGCACAGCGCCACCTGTGTCTGGGAGGCTCACATTGCAAATGTACAGTAGAGACCAGTGATAGCAAACCTGTATGAGCCCCAGTGCCCAAAGTGGATCACTAAACCAACTTATGTGTCTCAAAGTGCCAACCCTGCACTTAGACCAGAATACTGATGATTTATTTTAGAAAAACGCTCCATACGACTGTCTGAACTAATTATGTGCTTAGATTTTAGAAGAAAAATACAATACAAGAGTTTTTAACTACACTACATTGACATGTACCTTTGTACTGTGCTAATTAGTGGCATGTTCCATTGCAGTGTGCTACTAAGGTACGTCATGCAGCACAATGCAAGGGAACAGTCTCTCTACAGCTTGGAGTCAGTGGTGGAGCACCAGGGCCCAGTTGCAGCTGTGAACGCTGTGACCCGGTTAGTTCAGCCACTGACTCCAACCTGTAAAATAACTAATCTCAGCAATATATTATATAACAATGCAGAATACCACCAACTATACAGGACTACAAATCCCAACAATACAATATACAGCAATGCAGAATACCACCAACTATATAGGACTACATATCCTAGCAATACAATATACAGCAATGCAGAATACCACCAACTATATAGGACTACATATCCTAGAAATACAATATACAGCAATGCAGAATACCACTAACTATAGAGGACAACAAATCCCAGCAATACATTTAACAGAAATGCAGAATATTACCAACTATAGAGGACTACATATCCCAGGAATACATTATACAGCAATGCAGAATAACACCAATTGTAGGGGACAACAAATCCCAGCAATACATTATACAACAATGCAGAATATTACAAACTTTAGAAGACTATATATCTCAGCAATACATTATACAGCAATGCAGAATAAAACCAACTATAGTGGACAACAAATCCCAGCAATACATTTAACAGCAATGCAAAATAATATAAGGCTGCATACTCTGTGTTGCTGCGGGGTGGCGGCCCAATGTCTCCAGGGTCTCTGGAGGGCTGTGTGGGCTCTCAGGTGAGCTGTGTAGGCTTTCAGGGGTGCTGTACAGTTCTCAGATGGGCTCTGCGGGCTCTCAGGTGGGCTGTATAGTCTCTAAGGTTGGCTGTTCAGGCTCTCGGGGGCTGTGCGGCTCTCAGGGAGGGCTGTACGACTCTCAGGGGGGCTGTCCAGCTTTAAAGGGGGGCTGTGCGGCTCTCAGGGGGAGCTGTGCCGCTCTCATGGGGCTGTGTTTTTCTTAGAGGGGCTGTACAGCTCTCCAAGGGGGCTGTGCAGCTTTCAGGGGGCTGTGCGGGTTTTAGGGGAGCAGTGGCGACTCTAGGAACAATATATAGGGGGGCACATAAGATACCACAGTCAAATCTGGGGGGGCACTAATATTTTTCATTGCATGTCGCAACCGCAGGGCGCCGAGAGCTAATTTAATTGCGGATGGCATCTGCGCCCTGCAGTTCAGACATGTAGTCCATCGCTGCCCACAATCCTGAATACCGCAACCGCCGACGCCATCCGCACTTAAACCAGCTCTCAGCGCCCAGTAGGTGCGGAACACAGCAGGGGCTGACTGGCAACTTTTAGCCCAGGGGCAAGTACAACCCAGAGGCCCATGGTGCAGCTACTTGGCCCCCTCCCGCTCTGCCTCTTACCCCACCTTCTCACTGCCCCTGCCTGTCACTTTTGCCATCCATGTAACAGTAGTGTGAATGGTCGGGTGATGTGAGGACTCCTAGTAAGTCCATGAAAGGGGGGGTGGTGCTCTCCTCCCACTGGGCTCCCTACATAGTTCTGGGCTTTCTCCGCTCTATGTCTGGTACATAGGCACTCTCGCTCACTGTAGACCGCCACTGGCTGTCAGGCATGTTAGAGGGTAGCCCGCTGGGGCCTCTTGAGGACCCCCTCAAGGAGCGAGCGGTCACCCGATTAAAGAGCTGCATCTGTAGCGGTGCAGGTGGCGGAGGGAGGGAGCCACTGCACCTGCGGCCGGGTCCTTCATTTAGCCAGGTCAGTCCACCCCTGGATCCGCCACTCAGGGCAGGTGCAAGGATTTTTGCCTACACAGGCGAAGGTGGATTTTTGCGCCCCCCCCCTTAGTCGGCTGCCTATGCCTATACATCCTTGCGCTAGCACTAGCCTGGACTTGCGGCTCTCAGGGGGGCTGTGCAGCTCTTATGGGGCTGTGTGGCTCTCAGGGGGGATTTGTGGCTCTTAGGGGGGCTGTGCGGCTCTCAGCGGAGGGGGGGGTTTAAGGCTCTCAGGGGTCTGTACAGCTCTCAGACAGGGCTGTGCGGCTCTCAGGGGGGCTGGGTGGCTCTCAGGGGGACTGTGTGGCTCTCAGGTGAGGGGGGGTTGTACGGCTCTCCTGGAGGGCTGCTGCTGCTCAATAGATTTGACTATCCCTGGATTGCCTCAATATGCGATCTGGGCAGGTCACAATCAGGCAGCGGCGGCTTCTAAACAGGCATATTAGATGGCCGCTCGCTGGGGCCTCTCGGGGTCCTAGGGAGGAGGAAGCGGCTGTCTAATATGGCTGTTTAGAGGCCACCGCTGTCTGATTGTGACCTGCCCGGATGGTCGGATCTATTTTCAGAGGTGGTCCCTGAACCTGGGCTCGTGTGCCAGAGAGAGGGCCCTGCGTGCCCTCCCTGGCACGCGTGCCATAGGTTTGCCACCACTAGTATAGGCTTCCCTCTCCCTCTATCACAGCATTCCAGTGCTGAAACTGACGAGGTCACTGCATGTTCCCAGCTCCAGCCATAACCTGTATCAGGCCACTCACTGCTCATGTTATGGACTGCATTTTTTGTCTGGGCTGCTGTACATGGTTCAGTGTCTCCCATTCAGCCACAGATAATTGATTCCTTCATCTATATTTAACAGAGTGGATGGAGGAATCCCCAGTGCCAGCTATTTTATTCGCAGACACGACTGCGGCGGCTGCTAAATACCTGAACTGCGCATGCATCTGATTGGCTGCAATCATTGTTTAGTCGAAAATTTCCAGACCAACACTGTCCACAGAATACCATTACAAACCATAGATGAACTTTGTATGGGGGTGCCAAAACACAGCCATGATGAGATGATGAGTGGCCCGATCTTCAACGCGCTTTGCACACGCTTCCTTAGGCTACTCTGTATGGTCTGGTGAGGCGGTGATCAGGGCATTCAGCGTGGTGACATGGAGCTGATGGTTTAACGGTTTATATGCGGCTTTATATGGAAGAACCCCTCCTTAAAGTGATTACATGAGCATGATCTTTTTTTTTTAATTGAGTGAGGAAAGGTTAGACCTGCTGTCAAGAAGGGGAGGTTCCCTATTCAGTTTGTACTGGTGACCATTGTCACCAAGAAAGAAAATGACAGGAAATCCAAAATTCCCCGTTATGGGGACAACTTCCTATAAAGAGGTTTCCACTAATGTCCTGTTGCATCTCTGGCATAGGAACTGGAGGGTAGACATGTGCGATTTGTTTTGTACCAAATTGTAATTCGGACGAATTTTCTGAAATTTGTACATTCGGATGCATTTGAATACGTACAGATCTTAATTTACGATAACAAAAATTTTGGATGAATCCGAGTTTCTTTCCCGAATGAAGTTTTATTGTGTTAAGCATCAACTTTTTTTTTAAAAATCCAAGTGCGGCAAAGCACCCTCCCCATGTCGAACGCATGTGGCCTGGTATGGCGCATTTCCTGCCTTGCCAGGCCAGTGCCCGGATTAAGGGTCTGGTTTGGAATTTAAAGGGGACCCCACATTTTTTCCCTTTTATTTTCCTGTTTTGGCGTTGGGGTCCCCCTTATAATTCCTACCAGGGTCTAGTATGACTTTTGGGGGGAACCCCACACCTTTTTTTTTTACATTGGAGGTCCTCCCTAACATTCCTACCAGACCTAAAGGGTCTGGTATCAATTGGGGGGGAACCTCGCGCTTTTTTTTTTTTCTCTTCTGCGGACTGTAAAAAAAAAGAATTTCATTTTTTTCCTTTTGTCTAATGTCACTTTGCTGCAACAAAAATTTGTTTGTACCAAAAATTAGTCCGTACATACTACCGCTAACGAATTTAAAGAAAATTTGGATTTCGTCCAAATCCCGAAAAGAAATTGACTTTCGGACCCAAATTCCGAAAAACTCAATAATGAAAAATCTGAAACAAATCGAAGGGAAACAAATTTCCTCCCCAATGTTACACTGACAGCAAAAAAACAAAAAAGCAAAAGAACAAAAAATAAGCTTACAGGGTTTTTAACCCTTCCCTACTCTATCCATAACTAAAACATACACTTCGAAGGGTATCTATTGTCAAAAACAAAAAATAAGTATGTATTTCGTTATTGAATTTCTAGAAGTTCTATCCCACTTATAATAGTCATATCAATATAGAAGTTTGTAAACTTACCCTTTGAAGATGTTCATAGGATGTACTTCCTCAATGCACTAGCACAATTTTACTCAGCCCTGTGTCACCACTCTAATAAGCCTGCCATCTGAACTACAACTCATACAAATCACACTGAAAAAGGGAAGGCAGCATTCACTACATAACAGGGATTTTTTTCAAGTAAGCTTTGATTGCAATATCAAAAACAACTCTAGTGTGTATTCCTATTACAGTGCTGTGACTTTAAAACTCCTTTAACCACCTCCGGGCCGGCCGTAGTAAAAAAAAGGCCGGCCCTTTTTTTTCCCCAAATTTTCTGTAATTTTTCCTAATTATAGTAAAAAATAAAAACCCCAGTGGTGATTAAATACCACCGAAATAAAGCTCTATCTGTCCCCAAAAAATGGTATAAAATTCATTTCAGTACAGCGCTGCATGACGGAATAAACGTCAGTCAAAGTACCGCAGCGCTGAATACTGAAAAATGGCCTGGCCAGGAAGGCGGTCTAAACACCTGGTCTTGAAGTGGTTAATGCTACATAGAATTTCAGCCCAATTTGATCATTTGTGTGGGTC